AAATAAACGTCAATCTTGTTTTTGTTTTTTTTATTGGGGGGGGGGGCAAGGGGAGAACCCCGTCCCGGCCGAAACTTAATGACCCTTAATACATAGTTTTTAAAACCTTCAGAACTCTGTGCTGTAAATGTAGTTCAATCTTTGGGTGTGCGTGTAGCTTCTGTGAACACGTTTTTTGTTTTAACAGTGTGAATTGTTTCTGCAGAATTACAACTTGGCCCTGAACGATAATAGAAAGGCTTCGATATCTTTCTAACCTTGCATAGAGTGTCTAGTTTCTATACACCTGCTAGGTTCGTACTTGAATATTTTGATAAATCAGATGTGACCCAACATCGTGGCTTAAAACAGTGTAAATAAAAATAAAATAATTAAATAAATAGCTGAATTATAACTAGGTTTACTTTGTTTTCTGCCAGTATGAATTTCAAGGTTATCACGAATGTTGTTTAAAGCTGCATTCTGTTCAAACAAATTATCGGATCATAGAATTGTTAACAGTGAGATAAGTAATCTGTCATATTAACTGTCATTTCGATTTTTAGTTTTAAATTATATTGCCGGGATTTTTTATAGTTTTGCATTAACTGAAGGCTTCCATATTGCTTTAAAACATTATGTTCTTTAACGGAAGTTTTTAAATAATGTTAAATAAAAAAAAGTTTTTGTTTTACTTCGCGTGTTTGGATTAAAACGTTTTATACATCATTGTTATTTCGTAAATTCATGCAATTAATAACATGAGAAATATGAATTATTTCTGTGTTGGTATCAACAGTACACCTAACACAGATTGGATAACTATGTAAAAAAAATAATCGTTGAAAGTTGCTTCTCAAAAGCCTAATTTGAACACCTTCCAAGGTTATTTTAAGCTAAAAAAAACTTTCTGATCCCATCGGAAATTGGAAGTTCCGGTGTCACGTAGGTTTTGTTGACCAGTTGAGACTGAAAGCGTCTCACTAATGTTAGAAACTAGTTTCTCTAATATCAAGACTTCTGACGGTTTGTTCCATTTACTATATTTTTTCATTAATGTTGTATGTGATATTGTGTTCTTTTATTACGCTAACACTACATTTTCAGATTATATGTGCCTTGACGTAGACAACATAGATATCAAATGACTGTGAATGCAAGTTGTTGTGTGTAGCTATATTTATGTTAACTTTCAAAGAATAAGACAACTTACTATTGTTTATCACATGGACAAGAATTCTTACCTGTGAGATCCAATTGTTTCAACGAAACAGCAAAAGAAAACTGATGGACTCTAGTAAGTCGATTGGAATGCAAGTCGAGGGTTTGTAAGTTTGGCAGTAAGGAAAAATGCACTTTCGTGAAAATGCTCAGTTGATTTTCGCTGAGGTCCAGAGATTTAAGCTTCATCAGTGGTCCTTTTAGGAATTGGTCAGGGACTGTTGTCAAGTTGTTACCTCGTAAGTTCAGAATCTGCAAGCTGTTAGTAGTAGTTGCTATAAGCTGACTTTCATTTTCCGAATCGATGAACTTTACTTGGTTGTAAGCCAGGTTCAGTTCACGGAGATTGGTCAAACGGTGATAGACGGTCCACATTGACATTATGTTGTTGTGTTCCAGGTTTAGCACTTGGAGGGAGTGGAGCACAGTGACAGAATGGGGAATGGATCTGAGCTTGTTGTGAGATAAGTCTAAAATTCGAAGCTCCAGGTACAAAAAGGTGCCCGGATCGACGTGCTCTAGTTGGCTGTGAACTACTCTTAGTGTCTCCAAGGTGCTGTTGAAGATTGAGAAAATAGGCGGTAGATAGAAAATGCGAGAGTCTTCTATTACGATCCCTTCTGGCCCTTCAGTGATGTTGGCTGGCACCTGCAGCTCGTGGAAGTAAAGCTTAATGTCATCGAGGGTTGTTTTATTACAATTAATCAAGAGGCTATCCATGTTTAATTGGCATTTTGGAGTCCTCACCTGAAGTACGCTGAACACTAATGTCATCTTTAAAACCATGGACACGACAACTACCAGGAGTTCCCATTGCCTTGTAATGTTCTTCCTCATCTTCCGTCATCTAGACTGAAAACAATAAAATTCGGTGTGATAGGATGTTTCATTTGTCACAAATGTAAACCAAAACTCAGACCTTATGCTTAATCAAGAAGTAAATATAATAAACGAACGAAAACGAGCGTTTTGTCAAGATTCGATAAAATAATGCCACATTATGTGAAAATCATCTTCTTTAACAGTTGTTTTGAACTTTTTTTAGCAGTGAAAAACTAGAGGGAAGGCTGCTAGTCATCGCCAACTCTTGGGCTACTCTTTTACCAACGAATAGTGGGATTGACCGTCACATTATAATGCCCCCACAGCTGAAAGGGCGAGCGTGTTTGGCGGGACGGGGATTCGAACCCGCGACCATTTTTGAATTTAATACCCATAGATAAATAAAACAGTCGTGATTGAGAAAAAATATATATTTCAAAAAGAAACAGACGTTTAGATACTAGAACATAATTTTCACGGAGAAATATCTTACTGAATCTTTTAATCATTTCGTGTTCTCTGAATTTTTATTAAGTAGTGAAAAAACATAAATCTAGTTTTTAAAATTTTTGTCAATATTCTAGAACAATGGAGATGATTTAGATAGCAAAATTGCTATTTAAACTTGTCACAGGCCACTGAGTTCACAAGTTTGGATTTTCTTTCGTTCCATTTCTGTGCTTGTCAGCAAGAATGACTGTATTGTAGTCAGGTGACCTCGTTTTTAGTATACTGCAAGACTAGATTCTGGGGCGATAACTACGTATGGGAATTACGCCCAATATGTCTCTCATAGATTAAAGGCTGATTGTCGAGCTTGCATGTCTCAAGGTCTGAATTTCTGACTTGTTTTCCAACTTATCTATTCTAGAAGTAAAGAGTTAAAACAACGCTAGTACATTTCGTCAGCCGGTTCTTTATATATACATACTACACCCATCGTTTAACATGGTATTCATGTGCAGCTGTGGATTTAAAATTCCTACTTTCGGCTTATGATTTAACTCTTTCAACCCAACATGGCTACATTACACATCTTTAGTTTTAACGTTAGTTCAAAATTTTTACCAACATGTATACATTTTGGTTCAGTGGCTTATAATTATTAATTAATCATTAGGTTATTTTTTCTTTATATATATATATTACTTAAAATAATCAAGAGACGTACACATAAATTATGTTTGATAGTTTGGTCATAGAAGGGCTAAAATTCGTAAAGATTGTCTCATAGTTCCTAACTGCTTAGTTCATGATTTCAAATTGATTCAGTTTATGATTTACAACTTGTAGAGTTTAGCTCATGATTTAAAAGTCTTACTGTTGATCGTAGTTGGGAACTTTTAATACGTGTATATTGATTAAAGCTGAGTACTTAATTCTTGGTTTAAAACCCTCGACATCTAGCTCTGTTATCTTATTGTTCAGCTCCGAGTTCAAATTACCAACACACATCTTCGCTATTAAAAAAAAATATATTAATACCGCTTATAGAGTAAACTGCTTAACATCTAGCTTACAGTAAAAAATCGGTAATATCCAGTTCATTCTAAAACATATACTGTTTGGCTCCTAGTTTATCATCTCTTAAACCATAGTTTGACACGTTAAAGCACCTATTGTTTAACAGCTACCAGTTAGCTTAAAAATGTTAAAAATGAGTTGGTATAAAGTTAAACCTTCAATTAAATTAATTAATAACACGTAACGTGAATAATATTTTCAAAATGTTAGGGTAGTTTAGTCTATTTTAAAATATGTATATATTTAACATATCATTCATGGTACGTACAAACTTTGACATAATTTATTTACCTTTCACATACTTTATTTACCTACATTTTTGGCATAACATATATTTTGCTGCTTAACTTCTCAGTTGTTAATTTCTTTATGCTTTGTTGAAGTAATATTCTAACAAAGATTCGTGATTGGTTAACAACATACACGGTGTATTGGTAACTTATGCAAAGAAAGCTTATTAATTTAGTGGTTCAGACTGTATACTGTTATAACTATTTTTACACAAAATAACATCAAAGTGTATGTAGTTTACCAAATATACCATTAGAACTATTTTTACATCAAAGTATTTGCAGTGTAGCTGGCGTATTGTTAGAACTGCTTTACTCTAAGTTATGGTAGAGTGTATACTGTTTACCTGGTGTATTGTTAGAACTGCTTTACTCCAAGTGATGGTAGAATGTATGCTGTTTACCTGGTGTATTGTTAGAACTGCTTTACTCCAAGTTATGGTAGAGTATATGCTGTTTACCTGGTGTATTGTTAGATCTGCTTTACTTCAAGTTATGGTAGAGTGTATAATGTTTACCTGATGTATTGTTAGAACTGCTTTACTCCAAGTTATGGTAGAATGTATGCAGTTTACCTGATGTATTGTTAGAACTGCTTTACTCTAAGTTATGGTAGAGTGTATACTGTTTACCTGGTGTATTGTTAGAACTGCTTTACTCCAAGTGCTGATGGAGTGTATGCTTATTACCTGGTGTGTTGTGTTAGAACTGCTTTACTCCAAGTGCTGATGGAGTGTATGCTTATTATCTGGTGTATTGTTAGAACTGCTTTACTCCAAGTGCTGATGGAGTGTATGCTGTTTACCTGGTGTATTGTTAGATCTGCTTTACTCCAAGTTATGGTAGAGTATATGCTGTTTACCTGCTATATTGTTAGAACTGCTTTACTCTAAGTTATGGTAGAGTGTATACTGTTTACCTGGTGTATTGTTAGAACTGCTTTACTCCAAGTGCTGATGGAGTGTATGCTTATTACCTGGTGTATTGTTAGAACTGCTTTACTCCAAGTGCTGATGGAGTGTATGCTTATTACCTGGTGTGTTGTGTTAGAACTGCTTTACTCCAAGTGCTGATGGAGTGTATGCTTATTACCTGGTGTGTTGTGTTAGAACTGCTTTACTCCAAGTGCTGATAGAGTGTATGCTTATTACCTAGTGTATTATTAGAACCGCTTTACTCCAATTAACGATGGAGTGTATGCTTATCACCCAGCGAGTTATTAGAACTAAATTATTATCAACAATGTCAGATTGGATACTGTTTATGTGGATATAAGTTTTCGTAACCCTTTAGTTTATTCTATTTACCTGATGTCCAAACTGACTTGGTCCACGTTGATTGAAATCCTGTACAGAACCTGGACTCGCGTGCCGAGAGAAACGCGCGTACTTGAGTTCTGTTACTCTCGCTCCGTCTCATATACACTCATGTGAAAACTGGGTCACGTATGTAGATTTCATCAAAATAGTATAGCCGAATTTACTTGTTTATGTACATTGCATTGTATCACGTGATTTTCCACGTCATCAGTTATTTCAAAAACGATTCTTCTTCTTGAAGTACTTTGAGGGTTCATAGAGACTTGCCACAACGTTTTTCTTTTTGCATCAGTTAATCTTTACCTGTACCTCAAAGAGTTTTATGTGGGTAGTATTAGCTTCTTTAACATAATAAGCACCAGCTCCCATTTTTGTATTCCCTAGGAAACATGAACTATGCAAAGATCCTACTAAAATATTTCACAAGTAACGTGATATAAGAACAACCTAAGATTTATTTGTGAATTTCTTTTCCTTTCCCATAAAATGATGTAGAGATCTAATTTGTTCTTTGGTTCGATAATTCTGTGGTAACAGGCTAGTTTTGCTGAATTCAGATCTCATCAGTGCTGCTTGGAAGACTGAAGCGACTAAACAAAATAGGCCTCATATAATGATGGAATGTAAGCAATTTGATTTTGATGTATAATTCTCTAACCACTATAATTTAAAATAATTTAGGTGTACTATAACAACAAAACCAAACAGTGTAATATCCTACTGCAAACTTGACCGTCTGCAAGGAACACAGAAAATAACAGCATGTAAGGCCTGCGTCAAAACATTAAAAGTCTGCAAAGAATATTCTAACAAACAACGTAAGCTCTTACAAGAAGCATTAACAGTCTACAAGAAATATTCCATAAAGCAAAGTAATATCTTACTATAAACTTTAACAGTCTGCAAGGAATATCTTATAAAACAAAGTAAGATCTTAGTAGGAACATTGACAGTTTCTAAGGAACGTTATTTAGGAACAACGTAAAAATAACGTATAATCTTACTATAAATATTGACAGGATACAAGGAAAGCAATGTAAGAAGAACGTTTAATCTTGCTAGGAACAAAGAATGCGATATATAGGCTAGAATCTGTCACTGTGCACGGAGAACGCGATAAAACTCTATATAGACCAGAATCTGTAACTGTGCCCAGGGAACGCGATAAAACTATGTATATAGGCCAGAATCTGTAACTGTGCCCAGGGAACGCGATAAAACAATGTATAAAGGCCAGAATCTGTAACTGTGCACAGAGAGCACGATAAAACTATGTAATTAGGCCAGAATCTGTAACTGTGCACAGAGAACACGGTAAAACTACGCAATGAGGCCAGAATCTGTAACTGTGCACAGAGAACACGATAAAACTATGCAATTAGGCCAGAATCTGTAACTGTGCACAGAGAACGTAAATCTCATTGCCTGTTGTAGCTGTTTCTTACAAAGTAACCGTAAGAACTTTGATCAAGGCAAGATAGATTTGTAAAATTGTTCCAGCTGTACAGTAGCTTTACTGAATAATACTTACCCCAATGTTACAATGTAGTACGTCAGACTTCCTGTTACACAACTTAGTTTGTTAATATTATGTTACAGCGTAGTTCGTCGTAGTTCGGCACGCCCTTTCAGCCGTGGGGGTGTTATAAGTGATGGTCAATCCCACTATTCGTTGGTAAAAGAGTAGCCCAAGAGTTGGCGGTGGGTGGTGATGACTAGCTGCCTTCCCTCTAGTCTTACACTGCTAAATTAGGGACGGTTAGCGCAGATAGCCCTCGTGTAGCTTTGCGCGAAATTCAAAAACAAACAAACAAACAAAAAACAAACAGTATACTGTTTGCCATTGTTTTTACCGTATAAAGTTTGTCTTGTGTTTCTTGTTATACTATAAATGCTGTCAGTTTTAACTTTTACGCTGTCAGCGAAATTGGAAACTTCATTCATAATGACTTTAACTAACGTAGTTTTACAAAAATATTAATAATAATAAAACCATCCGGAATGCTGCTTTACTTCTTTCTTTCTGCCAGTGAAATTATAAACTGGTTCTCATAAATCCTACAAGTTATTTTACAAAAGAAAAAGTAAATAATAATAATAACGTTACTAAGTGTCGTTTCTGTAGTTTAACTGTTACTTTACAAAACTTGTATGCACCGATGCCAAACTGCTGGTTGGCCAAAAAAAAAACAAAAAAAAACGTTTTAACCCACACACTCGACTAGTTGAATCAAACTTACAGAAAGCAGATTTAAAAAAAAAAACAACACACACACACTCGAATAGGTTTTTCAATCAATTAAAGCTTCTACTTTTAACAATCGCTACACTTACAGTACATTCTTATCCCGCTAAGATTGTTGAATGAACTGACCTTGGCCTGTTTTTAGTTAGTGGATATTGTTAAAAATTAGTTTGTCCTTTCCCACGTGTCAGTTTTTTTATAACCTTATAAAATAGACTACTTTGGTTTACTACACAGAAATTTGTGAATAATGTAAAAAATATGACACATTTAGAACCTGAGTTTAAGCATGGAGTGAGCTTGAATGATTTGTGTTTGCTTTTCCCCCAATGTTCACGTGATTTTTATATCTGAGTTTTTTCTCTAATTCCTTTTGTTTATCAGTCGTATGTTTGTTGATTGTTACTTTTCATCTTCGTAGCTTATCCTTTCTCAAAATGTGTCATTCTGTAATTATGCAGTATTTACTTATCTTATTGTTAAAGATGTTTTTTTCTGTACCTGAGCATCTGCTATTTTTTCAATACTTGTGTTTTTAATAAATTCTGTATTTATCATAACCTTTTTTTTAATATGCAGGATTTTATTACTTGTAGCATATCTTGTCGTTTTGTGATAATTGAAGGATAAGCCTGCCACACAGTTGCGTGATCTCCGTAAGAACTAGAGATTGGATGGCTTAATGTGAGGAAGATGTGGTGGTGCTTTGTTGTAGGTGGAATAAAATAGACAAGATACGACGTTGAAGTACCAATATAAATGAATTAATTTATCGGGAAAAACTAGAAAAAAAGCAGATCGTGTAGTGACTACATATGGGCATGTGGGAATAGAAGTAGAATAAATGGATAAACAGCTTCATGCAATTAAAAGAAATTGTATGTAAAAATAAGGTGAATGAAAGTAAACGTTACTTAAAATGAATCACAAAAAGTACACGATAATCAGATGCTGGAAGAAACGAAGGAAACAATGACAGTATTGACTTTTTCAAGGTAAAAACGAATATATCTGTAAACGCCAAATGTGTGTTCAAAATCCATCACTATTCTGTAGCCGACCAATTAGAAAATTCGATCACAACAATCTGAAAGTGTCCCTGCCCTATGTGACTGGCAGTCGCGAGACTGTCCTCTCCAGGTTACAATTATCCATGAAAAGTAGTTAACTTCCGTGATTGGTCCCTGCTGCAGAAAGTAACCCCTAGGGTCCAGCGTAGCACATGACCTCGACCGGATTTAGTATATTACAAATCAGAACTTTAGAAACATTTTAAAATTTTCTTGACATGAAATATATAATATATTAAAGGAAAGTGAGATACACGATATTTGCATGTCATAATTTCTTGGATTAAATATATTATTTTGTAATTCTTTAAGTACCTTATCTGTATTTTATTCTCAGATTGTGTTAAGTATTCTGTGTATCGTATTATTTATTGTACTGTGTTAAGTACTCTTTTTATTATATTATGTAATGAAATAATAGTTTTGTTTAGAATGTTTTGTTATACTATTTGCCCCCAGTGGCACAGCGGTATGTCCGCGGACTTGCAACACTAGAATCCGGGTTTCGATACATGTGGTGGGTAGAGCACAGATAGCCCATTGTGTAGCTTTGTGCTTAATTACAAATAATAAATAAAGAGTGTCTGTAAATTATAAGTAGATGTTAAATTTGTTCTCTGAAATTCAATAACTTGCCCCACATTTTACTGTATATTTACCGTATGAAAATTAATTTGTTTCTTTGCAAAACTTGTTACCATAGAATTTTTATAATAAAACAAGTTATACATGGTTGAATACGTTATATTAAAACAATTTTGAATATGCAGATCGCATGTCACGTGATAACCACAACCGATATGAAGTCGCAGTGGAAATAACTACATGTTTCATAGGTAGCGTGGTGCCACCGAAAAGTAATCGCTCGACATAGCACCTATTGATTTCTATGCGATATGACTGTTGAAATGTGCGTTTGCGATACTGTCATCCTGGAAAGCCAGCCAGGAGAGAGAGGTAGGATATGCTTTGGAAATGGAAACCTTTCGAAAGAGCCTTTAGTACTGGAAACTATGCTTCGAGACTATTGTCAGGAAGCACGATCATCACATAATGCATGACCAGACGTAGCGACATGTATTGTAACAACGTGGTGAGGCTTCAAAATCGTTTTAGTATAACGTATTCAACCTCTCTACTTGGCATCTTGTACGATTGTAATAGATATATAAAACATTTTGAAATAGTGTAATGTTCTGTTTTACAACTGTTGTTCTTTGCTGCTTCGCACTTTCATCAAGAACTGAATTTTTACACTGGAATTCAATTAGAGCTGCTAAGACTATATGCCGCCGTCTTTAATTTTGAATTGATAAGAGGGAAAGCAGTCGGTCAGCAGTATCCTACAACCCACCATCCGCGCTAAGGGATTCTTATTATTCTTGTTATTCTTATAACGCACCAACAGCTTAAACTGCGGTTAATTTTTTTTTCTTTTTTTTATTAGTGTTGCACATATTCAAAGAAACCATTTTGAGGACGGGTGCTGCTGGTTGACTGCATTCTCTTTTATTAATAGTTCAAAATTGTATGCGGCGCTTTCTGGGCCCTAGGGGCCTCTGACCTGGACTTTATCCCATGTGCGCATAAGGTGTCGACGCTTTGCTTCTATTGTACGAAAAGTTTCAAACATTACTTTATACGCTATGACAAGAAAACTCATTTAATCAAAGTTATATCTCTCTCTCCAGTTTCTAAGCAGGTTTTTTAGATGCAACAAAATAATAGTTTTAATTCTTAGAAAGAGCTTTTGATCGAACTCTTCCTTTTTTTTTTTTTCTGTATCTCTTTTTATCTTGTTTGATGAACTTAGAGGATATAACAGTTCTTGAAGACGATAAACTAGTTTAACGATATATTCCCGATATAGTTCAGGGGGTAATAACAAAAGTATTTCCCCATCAGTTTTCTTATTAACGATAAGATTTGTCATAATGTTGTAAAGGTAACGCTAAGTTCATACGGATTGCAGTTAAGGTCCAGGTATGGTTGTTATAACGCATTTGAATGCCTAGCATTTCATTTATGTCAAACTGCACACTGAAGATTTTCCAAATTGCTTTGAAATATCTATTTTGTTAAACAAAAACATTGTATTTTCGCAAAAGATCACGTTTTACAGATAATATTTAACTGATAAAATCAGGAAAGGCCCGGCATGGCCAGGTGGTTAGGGCGCTCGACTCGCAATCTGTGGGTCGCGGGTTCGAATCCCCGTTCCTCCAAACATGCTCGCCCTTTCAGCCGTGGGGGCGTTATAACGTGACGGTCAATCCCACTATTCGGTGGTAAAAGAGTAGCCCAAGAGTTGGCAGTAGGTGGTGATGACTAGCTGCCTTCCCTCTAGTCTTACACTGCTAAATTAGGGACGGCTAGCGCAGATTTCCCTCGTGTAGCTTTGCGCGAAATTCAGAACAAAACAAATCAGGAAATATCGTTAAGGTCAACTTTTTTTATTGTCATTTATACGTTTTATACGCAAAATGTATAAAACCGATTATGCGTCAACAGGATCTGAGCGAATAACTGTTATATACTCATTCATTTGAACCTAGCTCACTTTAAAAATCAATATATTAGGTCAAAAACCACTGTGTGTGAAAGTGTTTTCTTCTCTTGTTTTTATTTTATTCTTTAGTTCGTGTTTTCGTTTCCTCCAAGTTGTGCTCCGCACTCTGAGGTCTAGGGCTTGTTATAAGAAGTAATGTTAAATTCCACTATTCGATTAGAGTAGTCCAAGAGTTGGCGGTGGGTGTTGTTTATTAGTTGCCTTACCTCTGAGTCAATCAATTCAAAATTAGGGAAGGGTAGTGTAATTTTGGGCGAAGATTCGAAACAAACACAAATATTTATTGGTAAATTATGTATGACTGTTTTTTTCGTGTTCAAAGAGTATAACCAAAACTTTTAGCTACAGTAATTGAGGGTTAACTCTTTTTTTTTTTCATAATTTGGCCAAAGTATTGATTAGAGACGATTTGGTGACAGTTTTTGCTGGAACAGTGCTTTTCATTTTCTGGTAAGTAACTAAACTACGCAGTGAGAGGAAAAACTGATTTTTTACCTTCAGCGCCATAAACACTGCGTTCACATAACGATTGCGTATGTGTTACAAATGAAAGTTATAAAATCAAACATCTACTTAGTATGTGATATTTAATATTATCTTCACCCAAGGCAAGCGGTCTAGTTTACTATAAATTATTTTTGTGTGACTTAAGTCAGCGTGTGTATTTTGACGTGAACATTCTTCTGGTATAACCAGTTTATCTTGTTTCCTTTTTAGCTTGGAATGGGGTGCTCCCAACCTGGCTTATTGTTTACTTCATCAGAAATTACAGGTGAGTGTTAGGTACATGTCTATGTTTAAAAACAAAACGGAGAGTGAGAGGGCGAAGTTGTCGATCAAGTTTAACTGCCCCTTTCTTATCCCCTAGTTTCATTATCTTTGCGAATCTGCTAGAGTTACGTATTGTTGCGTCAGCGGAGGTCACGTGACTAGTATCACGCCACGTCCTTCTCGAACATTCACGTCCCTTCCTTAAATCTCGGGATCCTTCTATATCAGTGATCGGCAACCTTTTTTGAT